TATATATATATTTATTATGTATATATATATATATATATATATATATATGTATATATATATATATTTATATATATATTTATATGTATATATATATATATATATATATATATATATATATATATATATATTTAATATATACATATATATATATACATTCAACTTACGTACACATTCGAAGGTAAACTTATATGTGGTATGTACAATACGGAAACAATCGTGTGATATTATGCGCTCGAATTCACATTCCTGAGAATATCATCCTTCCGTAAATTGCAACATTCAAGTCATGGCGTAATACCCTGCTACTATATTTCGAGTAGATATTTTGTGCATCTCCTTCTGCAGGAATAGTGGACACCCTTTACACCGAACAATCATGAAAGACAGATTAGAGAACCCAGTAGACTAGTCTCTAAATTACCTCTGTATCAACTTCGAGTAGCAGCTCTCCAGCTTATGCTGGCAGTGGCTCTGCAGCCGCATATACGACGTGTTTGTCGCCAGCTCTTTGTTCAGGTTGAAGAGTGCGTTGTATGGGGCGAGCGTCTTCTCCATCTCACCTCCGGTCATAGCGGTCTCCATGACTTTGGCATGTGTCTCGATGTCCCTGGATATGCATCACAGTGGTGGGGTCAAGGGTGTGCAGAGGATATGGATTGAACTTGGAATATGCGAAAACCATGAGATTTGCAGTTAGTCTGTTGTCCATTTTCTAAGAAGGTTCATAGATATCGTACCTAATTCAGTACAGTAGTACGTGAACCGGGGACTAGCATACTCTACACTTTCGTAAGCGCCCTAAAGCGGACCACGGGTAGCCATCCCCGACTGATCCTTATCTTTGAAGTAAATTCGCATAGAATGACTCCAATAGTAGGTAGACCGATGATAGTCGCTGTGTACAGAATTATCTCTACCAAAGACATTGAAATTTTGCTCGCAAGATGGGTGTAGGCTGGACGTGAGCTCTAAAACACACCATGATCACAGCTACCAGGCTAGCAGAACCTGCACCCCCTTCAAGCACAGCATCGTCACCTTGGAACACTCCGAAGTAACGATACAGGCACGTCCTTTGTAACACATATACAGCATACCCACAGTGACCTTAGTACATATGAACATCACCCATCGACTGCACTCACTCCAGGCTGCTCAAGAACCGGTGTTTCTGACGCTCACTCTCCAATTCGACCAGCAGAGGATCCACATCCGATAGAACAGACGTCCACTTCTCACGCTGCAAGGGGAATGTACAGAGTTTCCGGATAAGCACGCTTACAACCTCCAGATGAGCATGTACATAACCTCCAGATGAGCATGTACACAACCTTCAGATAAGCACAGGGTTGACCTGTATTCTCATACCCACTCGCTGTGGCCCTTGGAATTACATCGAAGAATAGAACTTCTCCTCAGAGAGGCTGTACGCAGGCTGTATGTACATCATTAAGATGTAGTACTCGACAGTAGGTCAATAACAAAAGGATGACGATAGAGTGTCAATATACTACGAGTGTATTTGCTTTAAGTGAAAACAACTACGGATCAGAACGTACTTTCCACAGTAGTGCATGACAAGGTACTCATCCAACCTCGTACGACCATTAGCAAACGTCTCGACTCATGTGTATAGTATTGTATGGCACGAACGAATAGATCGATCCGCGCATATCGGTATATATAAATACACACACAGTACCCGGCAGTATCGAGTGAATGTCCGGTTTACATAATATTGCATGCGCGGGCCTACTAGATATTCCGCGTGCAGAACTCAAGCGTATCTGGCAGGTTAGCTGAAGGAACTGCCCCACTACGGATGCTCATCAATCCGTAGGATTTGGAAGTACGAAACGATATAGGCAGAATACGCGGACGAGCTCAATAAGCATGCCTTTCAGTGTGTATTGATACTGAGAAAGCGTATATAAATATATAAATATATATATACATATATATATATATATATATATATATATATA